GGGTTGACCAAAATGGACACAGCTGGTTCTGATGATGAACATGCTTGGCTTTCAGAGCTTATTCAATTCAACCGAGAAGCGCCTTGAATGCACCCGGCAAAAACACGGTTGCAGTAGTTTAATGTATTCTTTTGCATGGCAGTACTGCTGCACGGAGTACAGAGTATAGACCACTAAGGCGCATTCTTCTTTGAGCGCCTGGCCTCTCCAGGAACTCACGAATGAAGGTCGAGCCTCACACAAACAAAGCAAGAACGCACGTGGAACTCCTAGTAAGCCTTCTTCTCTCGTGGACCTTTTGGATACTTCTGTCATGATGTTGTCAAGAACCAAAGAATGCTTTCGGCTGATAGAGGCTGATCCTAGGCTGGATTGCAACCTCCCACCGAGGGGTTCTCTTCCAGGTCAAGCGCTCAAACATTGCTTCAGGGCCTTGGACACCCACTTGGAGAGGGGTTCACCATTGATGTACAAAATAGGGTATACCCATTCAGCATACCATCGCTTCTACAATTCAAAGTTTGGGTATGTCAACGAATGGCGAAACAAGTGGGAAGGCATGACAGTAGTCTTCGCATCTGCTGACACTGTACCTGCAAGTTTTGTGGAAGCAGCTATGATCCAGCGGTTCATGGGTAGCCTGTCTCAATGGTGTTTTGCATCACACTACATGTTTCAATGTTGTGGAGATTTCCATCTATTTGGCCTGGTGCCCCACCATCTCAGGCAAACAGGGATGCAAGAATGAGAGAGACGGCGGTGAGGGCGTAGTCGAAAGCGAGGACGGACCGTTCCTAGTATACTATGTATATAGGTCTTTTCAGAGACCCAGTGACGCTCCACTGATGCGGGGTCGTTGTGAGAGTCACTACCGAAGCTGAAACCATGCAGTGAAATCCTTCATGATTGAGCCCTTTTGAAGAACACATACGCGTGATCAACGTGTCAAAACGCGCGTGACTAAGGCTTGTTAGCCAGATCGAAAAGGAGAAGGCCAATGTCAAGCCCCCGCGTCTTGGATTCGACTATGATTGTGTGCAATGTCAGTGATGTGTGAAAAAAAACAAAACTAACCAATGCATCTATGAGGTGCGTGCAGCTGGTGACATTGGATGCTGAGTACAAGCATCTTGTTTGCACCCCTCATCAAAAGAGTGTAGCCTTTTTTGTTCTATAGCGAAAAAGTCTTGTGTTGATATCTCCCCGCTGCACATCCAAGGCAGCTCAAGAAAGATGTCGCCAAGGGGAACAAGGCTCCCAAGGGTAAGGGTGGACGTGCCAAAGGGCATGCGCCCTCTCATCCAAAAGGATCTAAGGCTGTTCCAAAATCAAAGGCGGGCAAGGCCAAAAAGGCCAAAAAGAACGGCAAAGCCGCCGCCCCAAAGACTGAAGAGTCTAAGCCAACTGAGCCTGCACCCAAGCGGCCCCGGAAGGGAAAGGGCAGTGCCTGAGCGGTGCATTCCGGCATGCATGGCTGTATATAGTTGGATGGGTGGTGCGGGCTTTCCTGCACACTGGGGCTCTTTTGTTTGAACGTGTGATCGGGAATCAACTGATTTGAACACAGGATAGTCATTTTCTGCTTTGATGGGCCATCTGCGCCCACAGGTTTGCATGTGTGCTCACATGTGGTGGGAGGATCAAAGCAAGGTGAAAATGGAGCCTCTGGACATGTACAAACATCTTGAAACGCAAGTGCGCTAACAGTGGATGATGATGGTTCCTTCTCCCTTAACCCTGCCCCAGTGCATTCATTACGGTTGCACCCTTTGCACATTGTGCCAGGTCCGTCCAGGAGGGCGCGACACCTGGCCTGGCGATATGGCCGTGGAGATTCTTGGCAGCTTATGGCTGGATCCACCGGTCGAGCGCGAGCTGATCACACAAACATGTTGTTGTTTGTTGCGTTGTTGCTTAATTGTATATATAAAAATGAAGGGTGCAGCTCGAGTCAATGACAAACAAATTGCTTGATGGACTAGTTTTTCAGTGTAAAAGTCTTTGTATACCCTTTGCATGCATTCATGCATGGCATCCAGTCATGCATCTTAATGAACATGATGTCTCGTAGACTCCAAGGAACCTTGCGTTGAGATCGTTCGATCTGCGAAAGCGGATATGTGTGATCGCCTTGCTGAAGAACGAGCAGGTGACGAGGGAAGCAGCGTATCATCATTCTGTCCAGTCATCAAAGCTCTGCACAAAGTGTCGGAGAGAAATGCGGCGTCTTTGTTGGCGTTTGATAACAAACCCTTTTCTGTATAAAAAGCATCCCATGTTCATTTCAGGAGTTGCAACAATTATAAGAGTTGGGTGTATTTTAGTGTATGGTTTCAACAGTGCAGCGAACGATTGCGCTTCTATATAAGGAAGAGGGTGTATGCAAAATCTTCCGGCAATATGGCCTGGTCTACCCTGTTGAATTGAGCTTTGACACTGTGGGTGACTATGTCAGCTTTCCGTGGATCAGGCCCTCAGTTCTCATCAAGAGTATGTGCAGCACCAGTGATATCTCCTTGTTACTCGGCGGCGCCCCAACTTTTGGTGAAGCAAAGCAGGCCTTACAATTGTTTTGGTCGAGATTTCAATCAATATATCCAAACCATGGGGTCTTCAGAAGGATCCAGGAGTCACGGGGTGCTATCAGTACATCGCATCTTCTGCCCATCCTGGTCCACGGTGATGAGGGCACAACATACAAGCGCAACGGGATGCTTGTACTACAGTTTTCAGGTGCATTGGGGCAGGGCACGCGAAAATCTGCAACTCCGAACGAGTGGTACAAGGACCTAGCATCATATGGGATCCCCATGAACCTGGTGAGAACAGCTCTTCAGACAAGGCTGTTGACACTGCTTTGCCCAAAGGACGGTGTTGGGATGCATTGGTTTTTCCATTGTGTTGGGCCGGGGCGGAATCAGATCAGCGGAATCTGAATTGCATGTCTTTGTATCTTTCATGTTCGGGTCAACGACGCCCTTGGATGACATGTGATGTCGACCTGGCAGGACATGTACTCCGATGATCCGTCAGTCTTCAGCCGCCTCATCAGCCTGGTGGTGGATGATTGGAAGCAGCTAGAGGACAAAGGCTTTGAAGCCCCTGGCTATGGAACGGTGTATCCTATTGTCATAGCCAACAAAGGCGACTGGTCATACCTTGTTTCCTGGTTCAAGACTGGTGTTTTGAGATTTTTTTGAGGCATGCAGGGTCAGAGTTCTTATAGCCAGGGTGCTATGTGCTTCTCATTGTTTGGAACCTGTTTATGGCGAGGTTTCTTCAGCAAATCTGGAACGGTCTTACCGGCGAGCGCCAAAAGCAAAAGCTTAAGCCAAGAAGTACATGCACAACCCCCCGGGGATATGCCATTTGTGCATGGGGGGGACAAGAGAAGGAGACTGGGAGGATGTGACTCTTAGATTGTTTTGCTTGATGATTTTTCTTTATTTTTATGGCTGTGTGCGCTTTAGATGGGTTTCGCTGATCATCCATGCGTGTGTCTGTGAGGAACACGGCCCAAAGATTGATCCGGACGGCGAGGCTTCATGGGACCCCACCACCTTGGTCGGTGGAACCTCATTGGTCACGACTCCTGCACGATGAGGCTCCTGGAGGCCAGCAACGCTTCCATAGGCCTGATGTCTGGCACACCATCCACATGGGTGTGGGGAAAGCATGGGTGGCCTCTTCGATGAAACACCTCCAATATGTCACAGGTGGATCGTCGGTCGACAAGAGGGTCCAGATTCTCAGCGACGATTACATCGAGTACTGCGAGCAGAACCGGAAGATCAAGTATCTCAAATCCCTAGAGCCTCACACGTTCGGCCTCAAGGCCAGTGAGCCTTCTGCAAGCTGGAACAAGGCCCACCTGACGGCTACCCTTCTTCAGTGGTTGCAGGACTACATGGAACGGCGCAAATGCATCATTGATGCCGATGAGGATCTCCGCACCATTGTTTCTTTGTCATGTTTCAAGCGTTTTGATTTGTATGACCCCGTGGTTAAACCAACCTTTGTTTGAGCAGTTTGGGTAGGTCAGTTTTCAGAATGCTGAGGCTTCAGGAACAGCTGCCGTCAACTTCTTTGTGAGTTCTTTGTTCAGCGAGGGCATATGGGTGCCAAAGTGCAGGGCAGAAGCAATCATCAGAGCTGGCAACCATTTCATCAGGGCTTACCAGTACATGGCGTACCGAGCGCTACAGAGTGGCAAGCCTGCGTTCCCTCTTTACCCGAAGAACCATATGGTTCAAGAGTTGGTCGAGGAGATGACATACCAATGCAACGTCTCAGACTTTTGCTGGAACATCTTAGCAGATGCGTGCTTCCAAGAAGAAGACATGGTGGGTCGAGTTAGCTACCTAACTCGTTGTGTGTCGCCACGGCAGCAGGCTCTTCGAGCGCTGCAGCGCTACCTTGCACAGGTCAAGGTTTGCTGGAGCGTGCAAGGATAGATCGGCAAATCACTGTGGGGGAGAGCAGTTGGAAACAGTGCGATGGATGTGGCAGGGGAAGGGTAGGGCAAGTGGGAAATTAAACCCCTCATGTCCAATCTGTTTGACCTGTTTGTATTGTGATGAATTTGTTTGAATGATGCTTGTTTGGAGTGAGTTGAAGAGACTTCCCGAATTTGAATGGGCGCCGCCACCAAATACGATTTTCTGCGATAATACGATTATTTCCGTTCAGAAGCGAAACTTCCACCAAATCACACAATAATAACGTTTTCTGGACATAAGTTGAAACTTCAACTTAGTCATGGTTCCAGGCAGTAACTTAAAGTATATATCAAGAAACACCTGGGTCAAGACTGCAGTTCTTCTCTTCAGCTGCTTTGCGTCTTTCGATCTTTACATAACATGTTGTTTGTGCATGTTTTACCAGAGTTTGCTGAATATTTAATGACACGGCAGAGTTTGTTCTTCCAGAGCCAGGATCCGCCAGGCATGTTTTGGCCGGTTTGTCTTCAGAAGTGAAGTTGCAACACAACTCCTCGCCAGGCCGTCGTTGCTAGTGAGGACGTTCAGTTAGACCGGGTAGGATGACCGTCAAACGACGGTCATTCGCTGGGATAAAGTGCAAAGGCAAAGAGGTCGTCAGAGGAGTCGAGACGGAAGATGTTCGGACTTCAAAGAAGCTAAGTTAAGAAGATTGTCAAGTCACCAGACAAGTTGCCATACCGAGATTCAATATCATTCTGTATTTGCTGTATGATCTTTTTGGTTTGACAGAGGGTGTTGGATCAAACGGCATTTCGACCAGCACTCCTGAATGATTCGACCGGACACCAAGAACTTTTGGAGGTTCAAGACATCCAGACTTCATCTCAATGACCCGTCACCGCCAAAAATCAAATCAAACTGTTGTTTTCATTAGCAGCCAAACTCGTTCAATAAACTGGGTAAAGTCCTTATTCAATGCTCCGGACAGTCCAGAAATCGCAACTTTGTTGGCGCCACGAAGCTCGAGTCATCGCCCTCATCGCCAGACATCATGAGAGAAGCAGAGAATCTCAGATGAGTTCAATCAATTCATCTCATTGCAAAAGAGCATTCAGGATTTGATAGGATTTGATTCATGATCAATTGGATTTGGACATCTCATTTGGTTGATGCGAACGTGGACATCTGGTCGCTGCGTCGTTCACTCGCCAAACCGATGTCGTCCCAAGGCGAGTCCTGTGCGTCAGCGAAGCGTCGTCCAGCGAAGAAAGGTCCATCTCTTGTGCAGATGGGGGGTCCATACCCCACCGAACTCCCTTGGAGGCCCTCTGCCGCTCCGTTGCACGAGAGCCGCTCCGTGCAGCAGAAATCGTGCACTGCACTGAACAGCGATGGTTTTCCGTGCCGCTGCTGTGAGCTTCTCAATTTTCAAGATTGGCTATGACATGCTATGACATTATCTATCACATACTATGGCTTTCTGTGATGTGTTTTTTCATGTTTTGATTTGATTGGATGTCCAATAACAGTTGGAGCTATGATTTGATGGGATGTCCAATAAAGATTGGAGCTGAGACAGTAGCTTTAGCTGCATATTTTTTTTGCTGAGACATGATCACAATTGGTTGGACTCAACGGTTGGACTGGTTTCCACATGCTCGGGGTCTAGCCATGTTGAACGAGCTATCACACCCGGTTGTTCTGACAGCGAGCGTTGCAAGTGCCGCAGCACATTCGCCTAAGATACCTGGACGGCCTGCCCTTGCGTACTCACAAGATGCCGCGCAAAGGAAGAAGCGGCAAGGAAGTGTCGGAGGCCTTGTCGCTTGCGCCTTTGGGAGCTATTTTATCCAAAGGGCATTTAACATTGTTGCAAGAACATCCAAGAAATTGCCAAGACATCGTGGAAAGTTTCTGAAATCCACGGAAGGCAAGATTGAAGGGCAGCAAGTTGTTCTTCCAGAGCCTGTTTTGTCAAAGCCTTCCAGCCGGGCTGTTGTATGGTTTCGTTCTGGCGATTTGCGGAGTAGAGATCACGATGGATTGAATGTGGCAGCAACTGCACAAGATGGCTTTCTTTGTTGCTACATCTTTGAGTCACAAGAGTTGGCTCGATTGTCATCTCGTCGAATAGCTTTGTTGCAGACAGCTGTCGATGATTTGAAAAGGCAGCTGGAGAGGCATGGAATGAGCCTCCATCTTCTGTTTTCAGAAGATGCTGCAAAGTCTATCCATCACTTCTGCCGAGAGATGAATGTGACCGACATCTACGTGCACGAAGATCCCATGGATCTTCGTGTCAAGACCCTTCAAAGGCTAGGTTCCATGTGTAGATCTGGTGGTGCACGCCTGCACACTTGGCGTGCACCCCTGCGCGTGGCAGTTGGTTCTCTCTGCCAATGCGAAACACATGATGACTATATCTCCGTGGTCCAAACACTGGAAACCACTGCACCAACTGCTTCATTGAGCCACCTGAGGACGCTTGCATCAAGTGAAATGCCCCAGATCCCATCGGCTTGGAAGAGGGAACTTCCAACTTTGGATGAGCTTCAAGAACTGCTCCTGGGCTCCTCCAGTCGAGATCAATGGCTCTTTCGCCAAAAGCAGACCTACGTTCGAGGTCTAGGGGCAGACACTGCTACTGAAGAGGAGGCTTTTCGCTTGCTGGAACTCTATGTCAAGGAAGGAGCTGAAGCTGTGGCTCAAGATTTGTGGGGCTTTCCGGGTGATGTCTTGCCTCACTCGAAGGAGGAGTGGGCCTTTCGCCGCATCGCCTTGGGGCCTGATGGCTACAAGGGTTTGAGACCGGGAGAAGTCTTCAGCCGAGCCTTTGCTGAAGAATTGTTGTGGTTGGGAACAATCTCCATGCGTCGCGTGGCCCAAGAATTGAAGAGAAGTCAAAGCGAGGATTGTCAAGCTGCTTTGGAAGCTTTGGAGGCTCACGAGTGGCATCGACTTCTCGCCTTGCAAGACCTTCAAAAGGTCGAACCGGACGACGGCGAACCCGGCGTGTCCCGGCTCGGGTACTTCCGGTGGCGGGGATATTTGTGTCGCTACATTGCACCGGTGGAAGAAGATGAAAACGACCTCAGACCACCAGTCCTGGCAGTTCATGGTTTTGCCGCTTCCTGTATGCAGTTTACCGGCTTGGCAACGGCTCTACAGGTTGGGCGGGAGAATCCGGTGCCCGTGTATGCCTTGGATCTAATAGGCTTTGGACATGCAGAGAAGCCACCTTTGTCTATCACTCAATACGTTTGGGAACAGTGTGTCAAGGACTTTCTACTCGGTGTAGTGGGAAGACCTGCTGTTTTGATGGGCAACTCGATTGGAGGCTACATGGCACAGTCAGCCGCTGCCTTTCTGGGACCTGGCCTTTGCCGTGGCATTGTTCTTCTGAATTCTGCTGGACCTTTGCTCAGTATGGAAGACTATCAGAAGCTTCTGCAAAGCAGTGGAGGGACGGTTCTAGAACGGATGAGGAAAGGATATGGGGAAGAAGCACAGTTGCCACAGTATGCTCCGCCACCTCAATGGTTGGTGGATTTTGGAGCATGGCTTTTGTTGTCTGGCTTGCAGCCAAACATTGAGGGCATTCTAAAGCGGCTCTACCCAAGCAATCCAACACCAGTTGCTGACTTGGCACTTGAAATCTTTCGAGATTCCAAGGACCCCTTTGCCAGCAACGTCATAGGATGTTTCAGTCGGCTTGGACCCAATCGCCCGACGAATGAACTCCTGCAGGAATATGCAAAGTCGGACAGCCGGGATGGCCGTGCTCATCTTCTCATTTGCCAAGGCATGGCAGACTTGCTGGGGGGAGGACCTGAAAACCAACCGAAGCGTCTTCAAGGCTTTATCTCCGCAGTGCCCGAGTTGCAAGCTTCTGGTGTACCAATTGAAGGCTGTGGTCACTGCCCCCATGATGAAGCTCCTTCCAAAGTTGCAGATGCTGTGCTCAAATGGTTGGACGAGGAAGTCTTGCAGTGATGTTCAATACTTCAATAACTCATTGACATTGAAATTATTGTAATTGTCTCATACAATAGTTGAAGTTTAGACAAATTTAGTCAATGCAGCCACGTGCCTGTGGCCAAGTGCTATCTTTGCAGCGCGGAAAACAACAGATGACAAAGCGCACAAAAGCAGAATGAATAGGATTGCACAGTTGAGACCTATGGTTGCTGAAGCTCAATGTACAACAAACGCTTTTCAGCCGCATTTTCTTCTTTCAGACGCGTCCCTTCATGTCCCCGACAAGGGCCTTTGCCTTACCCTTTCAGGTGCCAAGTGCCGTCAGGCCGTCAGGCCAGGCCGCCCGTGGTATCACTGTTTCCTTCAGACCTGGTGACCTGGTAGCCCGCCATGCTGGCGGCATTTTGAGTGAGATCTGGCAGCAGAAGCGGAATCGGAAGAGTTGTTGTCCCATTCTTGGCAGAATGTTTGCTCAATTCACACATCACAGTTGGGCTTTGTAAAGAGGCACCAAAGACAAGAGAAGGGCAGCTGCAGCCTTTTGTGAAGCCCACTTGCCCCACCAAGAGCCTCAACAATCTGCTTTGTGTAAAAGCTCGAAGTGAAGCTAATTCTGCTACAATCAAACAGGTATCCTGCCCTCCACTATCAATCATATGAATCCAATGTATCATGCAGAAAGCAGCGAGGCAGTTCGAGTCATCTCAGCTGTCAAGCTGTCGTGGATGTTTGCCGATGTGGGTTTCTTCAGTAGATGGACGCGCATCTTCAGCGGTTTCCAGAAGAAGAACGTGCGGTTCCAGAAAGTCTTCAGCAAGAATAACGACTTGATCTTGTAGCTTGAAAATGATCAGACCATCCATCAAAAGGACATAAAAGGACCAAAGGAAGCCCTTTACTTGAAACCATATACCCAAATAGAAAAACCTCTATGAGGGACAGTTTTCGGACCAGGGCAGCCACGACCTCGTGGAGGCCGTGATCCGGTCCGCTTGGATCGGGTGGAAAAATCCTTCGATTCAGCGGAACCGCTCGTCCTGTCGAAAGCGTGGAGAAGATCGAAGGAAGCGCAGGCGCGGTCGTTGGAAAGAAAGCGGTCGTTGTTCAAGCGGTCGTTGTTCAGTTCCCAAGTAAGACACATAAGATCAAGCCAAGTGGGAAGTGCATTCAAGTGCAATTTCTTGATAAAATCGCTTCTTGATCCTCGTTGATGCCCGTTCACATCTTTTGTATTTTGTTAGAGTGGCTTGAAATATAGGCGTTTGGCTTTGAGCAAGGAAGAACCTCAATTGTGAAAGCAATGAGGGGTGGCTTGCAATCCAATGTTCAGCCCCCTAACGTGAAGACGTCAGCAGCGAACATAACCTCAATCACTGGCAGAACACCGCTTGGGAAGGAACATCCTTTAGACGCCTTCCCAACCACTACCTTCAACGTCCTTCAACAAAAGGCAGCCACCTGTACAACACGATGACGATGAGCCCATGCCATGGGTTTCAAGAGCCTGCCATCGCTTTTGGTCCATGCAGCAGCTGCTGCAACCATTTCAGCAGGCACCGACCACAGCTGCTGGATCAAAGATTCAGCTGCTTGGCACAAGTACCTATTTTTGTTTTTTGTTGTACCTGTTTGTTATACATCATAATACCATCATAGCAATAAACATCATCATAATACATCATTGCTATGTTTTACGCCAATGTATGGCCCAACCGAGGCTTTGCGCTGTTGGGGTCGAGGTGCCGAAGGACAAATTGCTCAGGGAAGTACCTGGGCTTCGGAAGAGCAAGAGCGCTACCGTGGTCATCGAATGTGTTCGAACGTGCCCCTTTTCATATATACTGTATGTTGCAAAAGGATGCCCACGATCATCTGCAAATCAGTCAGTGAACCATGTCGGGGTTTAAGATGGTTTAAGTTTGTTACGAGCGAGAACGTGGGGTCTAAAAAGTCTGTCGGAGGGTCCTGTCTTCTTGACATGAGCTCCGACATCGGAGTTCTTAATATGTGACGTCTAAAGGTGTTGAGCTGAGCTCGTTCCGGATTTCTTGATGACACTCGAATTGCAGACGAATACACACCGAATTGCAGACGTTTTCCGATGTGGGGACCCTCGCGACCAGACCAGACAGGCGATACCATTTAACTCCTGGGTCGTCCGGAGTTGGAGGTTGGTCCGGAGGTTTTGAGGGTGAACTTTACAGTGACTCGAGGCTGTTTGGCTGCATATACATCAATCAAATTTTGCTACGGGCATGTCAGGTAATTCTACCATTGGCGACGCGCTCGCGGTGTTACCCATTGATTTGGGAACTGGACGGGTCGCGAAGATGGTGGAATCAGGCGTGAGAGAGAGAGAGAGGAACGGGACCTAGAGCGTTGACTGAGTCGGTGGATGTTTCATTCAATGACCATACTGCTGATGGAGCGAACATGTAAAACCATGTAAAATTAACCATCCATAATCTCATGTTGTTTCGGCAAGGGCCCTCTTTCGATTGTGTCTTGTGCCTTCCTTTTGTCAGGCAATACGCACGTTTGTGCCATTCTAGATGCTTGGCTATCGTTCGCCCGTTCGGATTGAACAGTCCGGGCACCTTTGGTGAATCTTCCGTTCTTGCCACACATATGTCCACTTGCCGTCCTTGGTCTCTTCCGCATGCGGTGAACTGGTCGATTCGCATGCTGAAACACACGTGATCCCAGGACGATGATTCGCTGAAATGTTGGGGCTCCGCAGACTATGGACGCCTGGGTCTGGGCGTCACCGGCTTCGTCGGCGACGAGCCCGGCGAGATGGGCGACGACCTCCCGGCGGTGGAGCTGGGACGGCCCGTCGCCCGGCATCGAGGACGACGTGCCACGGCGCGGGCGGGGCGCGGCGCGGGCTGTACGCCACGGGCTTGTGGCTGCGGATGTTTCGTTGGCGTTTTGGGGTCGCGTGGCTGGGGAGGTGGAGGCCGAGACGCCTCCCAAAAGCTGAAGATTGGCTTTGAGTGACATAGGGGGGTTGGGTGCTCATGGTGCTGGCGGCGCCTAGACTATGATTGTGCTTGTGTAATGACATTCAATTTGAGTTTTGCCAGACCTTTCTTTGGGCAGGGACCAAGCTTTATACTATATACTGGACACTGAACTTGTGAAAAGCTGCCAAACCTAACAGTTTCTGAGCACGCGTATATAAATAAACTATAGTCGAGCAGGATGTCCCTGCTTTTTGTTTGGCTTCGTGTCGATCCATACCCGCCTGCCTTGATTCAAAGCACTTAGCTGATCAACTGAAAGATGGACCGGAGGTCAACTGACATGAGATTCCGCACTCACTGCTGTCCGTTGATCTGGGTTTCTCCTTAGTCAGACCAGCCGATAACATCCACTGATGGAGCGACTAAAAGCAAAGAAACATATATATACAAAAATAATGTGAGGTGCAGGCTTTACACCACCGTCCGTGCGTTCGGCATCTCTTTGGAGCTTCGGTTCGTGCGCAACTGTCGAGTCATGTCAAGATCATATCAAATATATGACATTGTTGATTGTGCTGGGTGACTGCTTTTGCTTCTTCCTTCCTCCTTCCAACGCGAGGTCAGTGGGATCGCTTTGGGTGGCTTCCACACCTGTGCTGTGCTGGACAACGGTCAGATGAAGTGTTGGGGCTATGGGAAGCTGGGGCAGCTGGGACAAGGCCGGAGCAAGCGGTGGGAGTGCAGAAGTGGTATGGGTTTTGTTTAAGACACGAGACATCATAATAAGACATCTTTAGACTTTAGAGCCTTGTGTGGGTCAACATCCCAGAGCCATGGCGTGACTATAATATAATAACAATAATAATGATAACAATAACAATAGTAATAATAGTAATTGTTGATGGCATGGAACGCTTGAGACTTGAAACTCCTCACGTGGTCGACACTTCGTAGCTGCTTTTACTTAAGCGCCCAAGAAAAAGGGAGCGATCATTCGAGCGCCGCCATTTCGCTTGGAGCCGACCTTTCGTTTTGGTTTCGCTGTGGCAAGAAGAGTTTTTTTGCAGAGCGGTTGGTTGCAAGCCTGGTTACTCACACCAGGTTATGAGCCCAAAGGTTCATGCTGGAGCATAGGCGAAGACAGGCCACCCGGCAAGAGCTCGAACAGGGCCAAAAGGAGATCCAGGCAGCAGATGCCAGGATGAAGCGGGAAGCCAAGAAGAGAGGCGAACTTCCGATCGAAGACGCTAAGGTCGGAAAGGGAGGAAAAGCAAGCTCAGCGCCTGAAGACAAAGGGCATGATGTTGGCTCCACCCGATCGCCGACGGTCACCCTGCCATCCACCGAGGAAAGTGCCTCGGCTTCTAAGGCACCAGCAGTCTCAACTCCGAAGCCCATTGAGGATGAATCAGGTTTGCCAAAGCCGCCTGAAGAAGCACATGCCAGGACACCACAGGTTCTGGGACCGAAGGGTCATGAGAAAAGGGAGTCGCATGGTGTTGAAGTGATAGATGAGAACCAAGGTCATGAGATGATTGAAGCAGGTCCCCATGGTAGGACACCGGAATCACATGCTGTGACCATGGCTCCACTCTTCACGCCTGAACAGTTGGACTCGTTGCACCAAGTACAAGCCCAAGCTCCATGGCTTTATGCTAGGCTAGAAACGCCACAAGCACCAGCATTGCAGCGGCCTTCATTTCTTCCATCCACTGACCGTGACTGGAGGGTGAGAAAGGAAGAAATGGACAGTCGAAGTTCTCAAGAGTTGATAGCCCATGTCCAAACTGCCGAAGCTGCAGAGAAAGAAGATCTCCTTCGCCACCTTCGACAGCTCACCTATGAGAATGGTTTGCTGAGGGATGAAGCTCAAAGAAGAATTCGAGAAGAAGTGGTGAAGCCAACAGCAGGTCTCCATGAACGACATGTTCAAACCCTGTTGGAAGAAAACCTTCGATTGCAGCAGGAGCTTCGTCGAATGTCCTCGATCCTGCCACCAGCCAAGGAAGACGACCCGATCTTCGCCACCCCGAATGGAAGCTCTGGTCGTGAAGAAGGAACTGGAGGACGGGGGAGAAAGACACAACAAAGGGTTGAAGAAAATGATGGACGAAGGTCCAGTGAAGTTGATGATTCAAAAGGTCAAGAAAGCACCGCACGCAAAGAAACAGAAGAAGAGCCAGTAAAGAATAGTGGTACTGGAAAGGGCAGAGGGTCAAAGAAGAAAGAAGTGGGAAGTGAAGAAGACAGTGTGCATCACCAGACCTTGCAGGTGATCTTGAAGGTTGTGGAAGGAATGCAGAAAATGCAGGATCGAATGTCAAAAGGATCCTCGACGGACTTGGAGAACGAGCCCG